CCCAGTTCTGACACATGTATTTATATTTGGAAAGAGACCCACACTGAGCTCAGAAGCTCCCCTCCTCCCCCCAGCGGCTATTAACCTGTACCTCTGTTCCTGCTTCTGTTAGAAAGGGGAAGGGTGGTACTGGGGGTGCTGGGTACAGGCTTGGGAATGGGGAAAGAAATTTTTATTTTTGAACCCCTGTGTCTCTTTTACTTAAGATTAAAGGAAGGAAAAATAAAAAGTGTGTGTCTTACTTGAGTCTTTGGGGTGTCTCTGGATCTGCTAAGCCTCATGTCCTTGTTCCTAACACCTGGAAACATGGGGGGATGTCACTATTTCCGTCTTACATGGGGACAAGAAAAATGCTTCTGTACCCAGACCCAGGCCTGTGGTGGAACCCAGGATTCTGCTGTACTAAGGACCTCTAGTTGACTCTGCAGGAAGTGGGTGGTATGAACAAGAGCGTAGGTCTTCTTCCTCTGTGCAGCATCCAGCGGACACAGGACACACAGCCTGCAATCCCAGCGTTCAGATCACTGAGGCAGTAAGACTGAGCGTCTAGTCTAGCCTGGGCTACACAGCATATAAACATCTACACAAAGCAACATCAGTAAAAAGCTTCAGATGACGTTGCAATGGGAGCTGGGAAATGGGGGACACTGAAACTGGGATTCTCTTACCCCCAATATAAGGGGTTTTAAGCTGTCTTAGGGGTTTCCTTTGCTGTGAACAGACACCATGACCACAGCAACTCTTATAAGGAAACATTTAACTGGGACCGGCTTACAGTTCAGAGGTTTAGGCTGTTAGGTGGGAAGCATGGTGGCGTGTAGGCAGGCAGACATGATGCTGGAGAGATAGCTGAGTTCTACATCTGGATTCAGAGTCAGCAGGAAGAGAGTGAGACACTAGGCCTGAAACCTCACAGCCCACCCTAGTGACACACTTCCTCCAACAAAGTCACACTCACGCCACACTCCAACAAGGCTGCCCCTCCTAATACTGCCACTCCCTATGGGCTCCCAAGGAAAGGCTGATGACCTTGTTTTCTGGGCTTGTTCAGAAAGGTCACCCGGAGCTTTCAGAAGCTGTTCCCGTAGTAGCCGGAGTGACTGGCTCCATATCAACATATCAGTCAGATTCAAAGTCAATGTGGATAATGTGGCTGAGGCTGGGCGGTGGTTATGCACATTTCAGGCAGATCTCTGAGACCAGCCTGGCCTACAGAGCAAGTTCCAGGACAGTCAGGATGATACCATGGCTCTGTCTCAAAAAAAGAACAGAACATGGGCAGAGAGACTGGAAATGGAGTTAGGGTACAGGGTGGGGGAGCTATTTGTAAAGCAATGAGTAGCAGGGTTCTAACACGATTTGTTTGCACTGGAAACCCCAGTGATGTCCAGGGACTCGCCTCACCCTCCGACCGTGGGCCATGGGGAAGGCAAACAATTTTCCTCCCTGGTCCAAGGCTGAGCTCGACTTCAGTCTGCACCTGACCCCTCTGGCTGTGGGCCTCTCTAGTGGGTAGGCTCAGTCCCTTCAGACTCATCATCCAGCACATCCAGAAGTGGCGAGGGACACCTGGGACCTTGGGCAGGTGCCAGAACATTAGATTCCTAGAGAACATACCCTGTCAGGAAAAAAGCTACTTCAGGGTGCGTGGAACAGCGGGTGCCCTGCTGCCTCCAGATACGGGAATTCAACTAAGTCCCATGATGCCACGCATAAAAAGCAGTTACCAGTTTTCATTTTACAGTTGAGACAAAGGTTTCCAGAAGGCCCTGTTGCTTAGGATCAAGGTTGCTGCTCATTTCTGGGTAAAGCAGTCCCTTTGGGCAATTTTCCTCTGGACCTAGAAGGGATGGTTTAATCTTCAAGGATCAAGGTCAAGCCTGAGGAGGCTGCTGGGAAGCAGAGGGATATTTCAGGGTTATCCTTGTGCTACAGGCCCTCAGGAGATCCTTCGTGCTTAGGTTCTTTCCAAACATTTTGTGAAAAGCTCCTGATGCTGCCACAACCTGCTCTGCTCACTGCTAGTCCCCTGTTCGGTGAAAGAGGGGGCTACCTGGGTGGAGCTATTATTGACTATGTTCCCAGTCACTCATTAGAGGCCCCTGGAGTTTAAGCGTGACCATTGTTAAACACTGAGGCAATCCTGCCCCCATGTGGCATATTGTAGAACTGCAGCCAAACTTATTTTGGCCCTTCAGTTAGTTAAATGGTTAAAAGGAGGCCCAGGAACCTAGAATAAGTCAACTGGAGGTGCTCCCTCATAAGAAGGATTCTCAAGATCTCCCACAGACTTCCAGAATTAGGGGGTATGGGAACAGGGACTGATAATCTTGATATATACCTCTCGTATGATTTCTAGGGAAGTCTGGTGACATAATTTGCAGGACCTGGGACAATATGAAGCCTTACTAATATGTGTTCTTATTAAGAACTTCAAGGCAGTAATAGGAAAGTGCACCAAAGACAGTGCACCAAAGCATTAAGCTCTGGCTGATGCCATAGGTACATGTTCACAAAGCTGGCCCTTCCCTGTGCCCTCTGGACTTGCAGACACCCTGCTGTAGCTGACGCATCTGCTAAGTGTATCTTTGGTACTACGATGTGCTAGGAACACTGGGAAGAACTTGCTTGCCCATGATTATGAATTGTATGACTTTGTGCATATTTCTAATTTCTATACACCCTTTAAAACCTCAGCTTTAAGTACTGAGATGATGTCTATCTGAAAGAACAGCTTACAGGGTAGAAGACCATTTCTGTCATACAATAAGTATTGGTTAAATGTAGTAATGGCTGGATCCTAAGTTGAGTGATCAGTATTTATGCTTGTACAGTGGTGAGCAGCCATGTGTGCTGTCGCGGAAGGCATCTTGGGGTGGTAATGGACAGTTGTGATGAAGAAATAGAAATTAAAGGAAATGTGTGTGTGAGCGCGTGCACGCGCATGCGTGCACATGTGTATGTTTTCTAAAGAGTTGGGTTCAAAAAGAAGGAGCAGCACATGGAAGGCCTTCATGCCTAAGCTACACCCTGAGCCTGGAGGCTTCCACATGGCTGAGGACTTGTGTGTCATTCATAGGGTGCAGGCAGCAGAAGGACAGGTGAAGAGGAATTGTGGAGGAACACATCCGCAAGGATGTGGGTGCCTTGCTGAGGGATTTGAAGCTGCAAGATAATTTAGGCCAAGGGTGGTAAGACTAGATAAGTGCTTGGAAATCTAACTGTGGCTGAGAAGTCTACCTGAGAGGAGGTGTGGAGAGGAGGGGTGGAGTTAAATCCATCGTGCAGAACTGAACATGATCCAAACGAGGACGAGGGAGGACCGTGAGAGTTGTCAGGGAGCAGCTGACTGCTGGGAGCATTGGCTGGAAAGCTAAGTGGGGGAGTCTGGACTGATACCTAGGGGTCAGACACGGACCGGACCGCTTGGTGGATGTGATGACATCATCGGAGACAAGGGAGTTCTGGGACTCAGAGTGTGGCTTAAGTGAGTTGAGGCAAAAGGAGGAACTGAATAGGGTAACAGAGCCACATGGTCTTGGACCAGCTGCCTGCCATCCACTGAGGATGGGAGAGAGAATGGTGCCCAGGCTCCAGTCCAGTCTGTAAGTGTCCATGATCTGAACGTGCCATGTGGGTTACGCCTCCTGATCATGAATTGTGCAGAGTGGTCAAGAGGCAGAATGGCCAGAGGTTGTGAACAGGAGTTAGACAACGAAGCCTATCAAGGTCACACTAGGGCCTGCGGAGCCAGGAGGAATGTGGAGCCGGTTGGGTCCATGTGGCTCTTCGGAGGTAAGCCCCAAGGACAAACAGCTGGGAGGAAAACCCTGGCTCCTACTCCCTTCAGACATTGCATGGGCAATAGTAATCATAGGATGAGCAGTTTCTGATGGAAATGCCAGAAGACTCTCCCAGGTGTTCTAGCATCGCAAGCCACCCACGCTCCCTCCGCTCACCCACGCGCCCTCCGCTCACCCCACCCACTTTCAAAGCACCTGTTTCTTCTCTGCAGCACCGCCTGCACCTTCTACACGTCACTTTGACCTAAAACATGGTGTTTGGGTCTCTGGCTCTGTGACCTGGAGGGCTGAGAAGCCTCCGGGAAGACTTTTGATGGCTTCCAGAGGACCAGTGGACAGTGAGAAACAAGGCCCCACTTACCATGTGACTTCAAGGTCTGGACACTAGCTCTCCTGAGAGCCTCAGCATTGAGTAGGGGCAAGAATGGATGGTCCATCACCGGCTGTGTGAGTCCTGCTAGGCCTGGTGTGTGTGTGTGTGTGTGTGTGTGTGTGTGTGTGTGTGTGTGTGTGTTTGTGGTTAGTGACAGACTTAAAGAGCAGAGTTTGAGAATGAACATGGGCCATGGAGAACTAGCAGAGCCCAAGGGCTGCAAGAACCTGGTAAGGAAGGCCACAGGGAAACCAAGGCAAAGGGTGTGGTTGAATCTGAGCAGTCAAATCCACAGCTTTGCTTTGCCTTGGGTATAAACCAACGTAGAGGTGCCAGGGAGGGACCAGAAGTGGAAGGCCGGAGGTAGAAGTCACCTGGGTCAGAGGTTTCCACGCACATTAATAACTTGTAAAGGACTAAGGAAAATTCTAGAAATGTCTCCTTTAGCATTCCCTCCAAGGAGAAGAGACTCATGATTTGTCTAAGGGTGGGTTAGACTACTTTGTGCACCAGCAGTGGCGGATATTAAATTATGGCAGAACACATGTGTGCTTACGGTTCTGTGTGCTTTATGTCTAATTTGGTTTCTGGAGCCTTTCAAAAGCTCTGTAGGGCTGAACCCACGGTGCCTGGATACAGAGAGTTCAAGGAGGTGGGAGCTTGGGGTGAGTGAAGGATCGGCTGGAGTTGGGGTACCCTGTTAGCCTTCCTCCTTTCAGGGATCCACTGGAGGACACACACTGGGTTGGATTCTCTCCTTCCCCTCCTGTTGGCAGCCTGGGTGCTCACAGAGCCCTCTGCCCCAGGAGGAAGGCGATGCAAGCTAACTGAATGCATACTTTTATTAAATAAATGCTTTGTCACGACAAAAGACAAAGATCAAGGAGTAACATAAATTATAAGTTGAATAAATAGAGTACAGCAATCTTCACTTTGTAATAAATTGTGAGATCGTCCAGGTTTTTCTTTTTTATTTCTTTAAGTACAAAATACTAAAGAGGAGGAGAGCTCTTCCACATCGGGTTGATTTTCTTCCTACTTTTTTTTTTCACAAACTGGTTTGTTGTTTAATTTTTTTCCATCCGTTTCACCAGTAAAAAGTATAAGCCTTTTTTTAAAAGTCGAAAACAAAAAAGAAGAGAGAACAGAGCTATGGTGTCTGAACGTAACACTACAAAGAGCTACAGTAATATGTGCTGTGGTTATTGCTGTTGTAAAAAAACAAACAAACAAACAAAAAAAGAAAACAAAACAAAAACCAAAAACAACCGGTAGGCGTCTCGGAATCTGAAGGAGTCTTGTCTGAACTGTGCTATCCGTGTGACAGGCTATTGTGTGACAGTGATGGTGTTGGAGATGGGGGTGCTGAGGCTAGTGACTAGGGACCAGAGAAGTGGGGTGAATGGATGTGGGGTGATGAGGGACCCCCTTCCCCTCTGACCTTCTACCTTCCTTTTCCCCATCCAGAAAGACTTAGGGAGGAGGTCAGAGTCTGTGAAGTGGTGAAAGTCTATACTCCGTTAAAAAAAAAAAAAAAAAAACCAAGAAAGTCTGCTCAAAGAAATGAGAACCTAACAGGGAAGAGAGGTGGGGTAACAAGAGTGCAGGACACGTTGCACTTTAGTGGTTTAAAAATGAAGACAGTACAACCCCTAGGCTCCTTGGGTAGAGGCTGACAAAACCTCTTTCCCTTCTACTGGGTTTTACATCATAGCCTCCTTTCTCTTGAAAGCCAGAGGGCTACAGGGTCTCTTCTCCTTGGCTTGCTCCTCTCTCAAGCTGTAAAATTTCACCTAGAGTCCTCTAGGGTTCTGAGCAGAAGGACTGCTGCCCTGCCTGGGATAGGCAGGTGGTTTGGAGGTTGCCATGGCAACCCTTGGTGGTCGGAGAAGGATGAGGAGGATGTTACCATGGAGATAACTCATGATTGGGAAAGGGTCTGGGTCTTGGAAGGAGAAGAGGAGTGAGCACAGACGGCCTCCTAGGTCTCCTGTGGGGTAGATGTTCCCAAGCCTGGTCTGTTTAGGCCTGGTCGTCAGAGGAACACAGAGTCTTTTATTCTCCAGGTTCCCTGCTTTGTTCTGGCTGGTCAAGACTGGCTGGGGCGGAGAATAGGTCCTGGTTAGGCCTCTCTCAGTTACCTGGCAGTAGAGGGGGAAGAGAGCTATCTTTTCCACTGCTTGAGTGAGGCATTTGTCAAAAAGGGGGTGGGAAGAAGCCTTCTATGGGTGAGTGGAGTTGGGGACAGGCAACACTTAGACCTATGGCTGTGGATAAAGCCAACGTAGAGGCCTCTAACGGAGCTAAAGGCTAGCCTGGAGCCAAAAGCTTCTTGCTCAGGGTATGATGGGACCATTGCAAGCCTGCCTTCTCCCCCCGTAACATGGAGAAGAGCATCCTTCTTCTCTTGATGACCCCATTTCCGTGATCTCTGTATCCTGGGTTCAGCCAGATTTCCCGTTTGGAAGGTTTAGTTCCATCTGTCTGTTAAAGGCAAGCTTCCTCTAGGAAGAGACTTGCTGTCTTAGACATGCCTCTGCGTATAAGCAGTGAGTACACTCACAAGTTTGGGGGAGGTAGGCCGAACTGGGGAAGGCCGTCTGTCTATACAATGCCCTCCATCTGTGGCTCACAACAAAAAGCCCATGTAAGAGGCAGAGGCTCATTCAAGGTCCAGCAAGTAGCGGGGTAAGGAGAACACTCCTCACAGGTGTTAGCTCCAGGCCTGGGAGGGGCAGTGAGTAGGCAGTTCCTGGCTCAGTCTTTTCTTGGGGGCAACAGTACCCCAGTATCCACTTGGCAAATCCCAGTCAGATGACTGCTCAAGATCCAGAGAAATAATGGCAGGAAGATGAGACGTATGGAGAAGGTTTAGGATACTGGCCTAAGATACACTGAAGTTCGAGTTGGGGCTGGGGATGTTGTGCAGGGTGACGGGTGTACTGACCCTGCAGGTCTGGTAAGTCCTTCTACTGCCATCCCCATCAGGCCCTTTGTCTTATGAAGATTAACTGCCTCTTTTATTCCCAGCCAACTGTCTTGTCCAGGCAACAGGAGACATCCCCTTCTAGTAGCCATCCACGTCCTATGAGTCGACGTACGCTTGTCTCTTTGCTGTCCCTTTGGTTGCTCCACGTTGCGTGTTGGAGGGGGCCTCTACTATGCCATGCCATCAAGAAAGAGCAAAGAGCTGTGTCCACAGCAAAAAAGGAGCCTCCTGTACCAATGTCCTAGTACCCTCTCCTGGCAGGCTATCTTCAGTCTTCAAAGACAGTCCTAAGCCCTTTGTTAAACACCCCTTTATTGCAGAAGCCAGTGGGCCATGAGATCAGGCTGGTAAACATGAAGACCCAGGCCTGAGTTGTCCTGGGCTTTCTACCATCCTCCATTCCAGGGAGGATGTTTGGGTGGGGCAGAGCTGATGAAGCACTTGAAAGAGTCTTTGGCCTCAGTCCCTCCTTGGGGAGGCAGAAGTTGAACTGAAGTTGTGCTCTCTTCCCAAGGCATCCTTTTCACCCTTTAACACCCAGTCAGGCTATGGATCCTTGTTTCCAACCGTGCATCTTAAGTCTGGATTAAAGTCTGCCTCAATTACCCACCATCTGGGCTCTGTGACTTGAATTGAGTTCGCTCAACCTCAAAGCTCCTTCCCCCCATTTTCCTCTCAAATCCCACAGAGTTTATTAGCTGGGAGACACCACGGAAAATTCTCTTGGCATTTCCCTCTTTCTGTCTCATTCTTGTTCCTCCCAGACCTCATCTCTGCTCCATCTTCTGTGTCTTTCTGTGAAAGACTTTCCCCCCACCCTCCACTTCCTCCTCTTCTGTCATCTCTCATGTTAGTTTCTCTCTGATCTGTCAGCCTGGCAACTGAGGGAGGCTTTCAAAATGCAGTTTTAAAAAAAATGCAGATAGACAAGAAGGCCTGAGCAGGCCAGTGGGTGGAAGATGGATCTGGTAGGTTTCTCTGCGTGCTGTAAGACAGTTACTTTCCGAGGGCTGGAAGGCTGACATGGGGTGACCTGGGCTGCAAGTTGATGCACCTTGGGTGCTGGCAGCTACCTGGTGGATACATTTCAACAGAGGTTGGGAATCATAAGAAGATCTGATTCGGTGCTCCACAAAAGAGCCACACATGTAGCTTATGAGACAAGCTGCCCAGAAGCAGGCCAAGCTGGTGTTCTGGGTTGTATTAGTGAAATACGGATTTTCCCAGAATGAGGAAGATCTTCAGTGCCCTAAAAACTACTTCAAAGAGGTAATGCAAAACTTTGAAAGAAAGGGAAAGGGGGAAAAATAAAGAAAATAGATTTATATGCCTATATAAGTCTACATGGAGCCTTGTAGGTGAATACAAGCCCCTTCCATTTCTCCGCCTATCCTTCTCCTCCACAGAGGCTGCTGGGCCAACTCTGAGTCTAGTGAAATTAAGGGCCAAAGCCACATGCTTCTGAATGCTTGTCACCCTGGAAAATCAAGTCTTTCCAGTGTTGGGGGTGCATACTGATTTCTTAAAAAAATCTCCAACAAGAGTAAAATTTTCTTTGTTTTTAAAGGGATGGAATGCATTTTAGTCTTTATAAATTTGGGGAAAAAACCACCCTGCACTTGGGTAAGAGGAGAGGAGGGTGAGGGGTCTAGCCATCCACACTGCTGGCTGGAGGAAGCAACAGACCCGAGAGGCACTGACATGCCTTGTTTCTTTTCTCCTTTTGACCAATCTAAACTGGGTGTCACTGAATGCCACACTTTTGAGTGCCCCAACCTTTCTCTGACCCCAGGCTAGAGCTGAAAGCAAAGAACAGATCCAGCCCTGGTTGTGGCGTCCTTCCTGCCTTGCTGTTTCTGTCTTTTCTCTCTAACCCTACCAGTCCTTCCTTCTTCTCTACTCCAACGCTTTCTTCCCATTTCTCGCTCCTTCTTGCTCCTTCTCTTCTTCCCTTCTCTGTCCGTTCAACTTGCTTCAAAAAGGAATACATTTCCGGGGTCATGGTGGGAAGTGTCTCCTTAACCCTTGCTAGAGATTCCGAGGTCCTCAGTTTCCTCAAATATATATGTATATATATTTCCCCTAAATGAGATGAAATGAGTGACGTCCTGGGGTGGAGGGAGGCTCTGGCTGGAGTTGGGGCTGGGGGGGTAGGAAAGGGGGAGGGAGGGAGGGGACGCGTCACTCAACGTTACTGCTGTCGAAGGCGTGGCACTGAAAGTCTCCATCCACGTACTCCATGCCTGGTAGCTTCATCCCGTACTTGTCCACACACCAGCAGATGCCACGTTTGCGGCCACGAGAAGGCTTGCACTGGGAAAGAGGCAAGGAGCAGTGAGATACCTGTACCTGAGGCTCTCTTCTTGTCTGACTCCCCCCACCCCGTGCTTGAGGGTTAAAAGGGGTACATCTTTAGCCAACTCTTGGGGTTTTGCTGACTCCATTTCATGGGAGGACCCAAAGAAAATCGTTAGTTCAGGCATCTTGCCCTGGGGTAGGTCTTGCAGTCCCCCTTTTGTTATTCACTTTGGGACTACCAATCTCACCTTCTCCAGGAATCCTCAACAGAGGACCTTGGTCATGAAAATAGGAAGCATTACTCTGTGGCTCTATCGTGGGCCAGACACAGTTTAACATGGGTCATGTGGCAGGAGTTGTTCGAAGTGCTTTGCCAAGGTAGTCACTTATTTCTCCCCATCAGGGTGGCAGAGATTGCTAGTCCCCATTTTACAGGAGAAACTAAAGACACAGGGGCTTTAAATAACTGGGTCATGGGTTACACAGCTAGAAATGGCAGGGTCAAGATACACCTCAAGGGGTCCTAGCTTGTAACTGTTAACTTAGATTGGGATCTCTTATAGGCACCATTAGTCACTCAATTTAGAAAGGTAAAGTGCTTGGAATCTACTCCAGACCTGCCAATCAGAAACCCTAGAGGTGAAGCCTGGCACAGGGGCATACCTGCTTTCTCTTGTAGAATCCTTTGCGGTCACAGTTGGGCAGGTACACGGCACGGGGCACCATGCGTGGGCTGGCTTTGAACTCCTGGAGGGAAGCTTCCATGTGTCTGCGGCAGGGGCCCTGTGAACACAGGAGGGATGAGAGGCATGACTCAGGTGGAAACCGCTTGGTGGTACCCTCTGATGGCTCATATGTGGCGTCCAAAGGGACCCGGGAGAAAAATCTATCACCTTTATCAGAAGTCACTTTTGGCCACAGATGCTCAAGTAAGACACATGTGATTGGGATGGTGGCCAGGGCACGGGAAGAAACCCCCTGAGACTCACTTGCTCAGATTCCTGTCTCATCTCAGGCGCAGGGATGACTCGGGGGTGGGCAGTGTTCTCAGCGCCCCCCACAAACTTAGACTGAGTTAGCTTCTTTCTGCGGTCCTTCTTCACAGCCTCAGCCTTCAGCTCGGAAATGCGAGTGTGCTTGGGCCGGAAGACCTTGGGTGAGTAGGTCTCTTCAGCCATCTCGGAGGTGGTGGGTTCCTCATGCTCCCGAGAGTCTCTCTCTGTGGGGAGAAGAAGGCAGCGAATCACTTCTGAGGTCAGAGAGCAGTGTCTAGACACCAGAACTGGAAGGATTGGGATCAGAGGAATCAGGGAGGCTCAGAAAGATCCAATGAGGTCTAAGAAAGCAAGAGGGGGATGGAGTTATTCTTGACCACGCCTCACTAGTGCACGTGGGAAGGCAAGCTCGAGAAGGTGGCAGCACAAGGCCCGAAGCAGGTGAAGGTTACGTAAAAACAGTTTGCGGGCCAGTGGCGCAGCTCAGGAGATGAAATGGCTGGAGGCAGAAGGTTGAGCTGTCAGGACCTGGAGAGCTGGGCCAAGGGAAGAACACAGGGCACAATCCAGACATAGGCAAGAGCAGCCAAGTGTGTCCATCCTCTTAAAGAGGTCTTTGTACTTTTAGAGCAGCTGGGCTGAGGGTTGAGAGATGTTTGGACCTGGGTATCCAGGAACAGGGGTAGTAGAGGGTGGACCATGGTGTGGGCTGAGAGAGAGGAGAGGCAGAAATGTGGGCCCTGGAGAGGAACGGAGCAAATGGAAGACAGGCTGCATCCTTCCGTACTAGCTTCCAACTGGCTCTGTGCTGTGCTCTGGACCCTAGGAGGCTGGGCATTCCTCAGCTCTGTCTGAGAGGGGCTGACAGCTGGCTGGGGCCAGACCAGTTATATATAGGAGCAACTTGGTGACAGTCTATACTTAGCTGACTTATGACCTTTAGAAAAAAAAAAGTAGGACTTCGTTCATGTGTCCGTTAGTCTGTTAATGTCATCTGCCTAGTCAATCTCAGTACACATTTCCAGTAAGTTCTTTTCTCATAGGTGCCCACCAGTCCCCTCTCAGCCCCTGACCTTGCAATCTCAATAGATTATGAATGGGGAGACCTTAGATTGCTGTCTTCGTGTGGTGTGCTTCACATGACCCACATCAAGATGGAGGGTCAGAAAGGGGTGGAGGACCAGACTCCATCACTTTTCCTATCTAAATACTCAAAAGGGGGGGGGGGGCTTTGGGAGACCCAAAATTAATAAAGCAGGGTGAAGGAAAATCCACCATCCCTCAGATACCTAGATATGGTGGCAGCTGGGTATCTCAGATGTGAGAGATAAGGGGAGAGAATTCAACGAAGTTGAGATGAAGGGGAATTTGTAAAGAAAGCGAAGACTGAACTGCCTTCAAGCTCCCAGCCCAAATGAAAATCTGTTGTGAGTGAGCAGAAGCATAAGATTAGGCCTAGCCTGGTTAGAAGAACAAATGGCATCAAACACCCAAGTGCATGTTCCTCCAGGGCTTGTCAAGCTGAATGAACTAGGCATTGGTTCCCAGTAGGAGGAAGCCTCTAGGGGTTTTCATTGATCCTGATGGGTAATGGGCTTGGGTGTGTATCCACAGGAAGGAAGAGAAACGAGTGCTGGAAAGGAAGAGGAGGGGCCGGGACTACAAGGCAGTGCTGGGGCAGGCTCTCCCTGAGTCAAACTCTGAGTGGGATAACAGACCTGCCCTCTGCGTCTTCTTCTTCCCTTCCCCAGTGCCTGACTCTACTGTATCAGAACCTGCTGGGATGCCTAATCCTGGACTGATTGCCCAAAGTGGAATCTAGGACTCTAGGGATTAAAAAAGGGTATCTTGAAGTGAACCCAATTTTCTTGGTTGTGGATTTGGACGATGCAGGAGGAGGCATGTTTAGTTTGGGGGTTCCATGCAGATAGAACAGTAGAATCTGATGTTTTTCCTTAAGGAAAACTTGCAAACTCTGGGCCTCACTAAGCAAAGTCTAGGCTCCTGGGGGTAACTCCTCTTCCCTAATTTTCAGGCTTCTTATTTGTGAAGAGTAGGTTTAAAATTTTGATGTGCTTTCTAGTTCTTGGTGTTGCTTCACCTCTGTGAAAGCTAGAAACCCATTACTTAGAGAGAAGGAGAGTCGAGTATTAGAGATGCTAATCAGGGTCTTGTGGTCACCTGTAGACCTCAGAGAGACAGTGGGACCTTGGAGGAGAGCCAGAGCAGAGTCAGGAAGATTAAAGAGCTAGAAAGCAGGCCTCGAACCAGAATACCAACTAACCCTGTTCAGCTGCCTTGTGGCTGAATCATAAACAGGATTTCAGTTTTTGGAAGGTTCGGCTTTTAGATAAAACAAGAGGCCACAAATACCCTGGTTATCCAAGAGTCAGTTCACCAAGAGAAAATAAATGAATGGAGGCTGCTGATGGGATTGACTCCAGGACCCCAAAACGAGGCTTTTAGAAAAAAGCAGGGCTATACCTCCAGGTGGCCAGTAGATGGCGCAGGCGACCAAAGACGCTCAATTTGTGCACACTTCCAGGGAAGATGCAACGTTAAAATCTGGCACTGGGATGTCTCCTCCTTCTACTAGCCTGAGAATCCCATCAATCCTTCCCCCCTCTTTGTGTGCTTCCAGCATGCATTAAGAAGGTTGGAGGGACAAGAGAGAGCTGTGCAGGAGTGGAGGACTGTGAGGACAAGTCTTAGTTGTGTGTGGCAGAATGTTGCTTCTTAGTCATGTGACTGGAAAGAGAAGAGAAACACATTCCAACACTCTCTTCCCTCTAGATGCTGCTGGAAAGGTTTCTGCAAAAAATGAGAAATGTAGGGTGCTTTTTGGTGAGGGATTTTCATTGCAGCAATAAAACCCCTAAGACGAGTGCTATATTATTCTAGTATTTACTCTGATGTATGTTCTGCTATGGTTCTAGCTTTGTAGTGTGCCTACTCTGCCACAGGAGTGTTGATCTATTTATCCTCCCCTTCCCATAACTCTAGGGCCACAGGGTACATCAGCCTCTCCCTACGGGCAGCCACAGCTTTATGGTTACAAAGGCACCTCAGGGAGGGCAGCATTGCACAGGGCACTACAACACCATACGCATACCTTACACAAGCTCAACCTTTTTAAGCTCACAGTCTGGCCGCCAATGCGTTCCTGCAGGAGTCTGACTCTTTACCAACATATGGAGGTTCTTAGGATGCCTTCCCATTCAACCTTGCTTTCTAGTCTTTCCAATAGATGAATCCAGGTGGGGTCTGTTGCTACCTGAACTATCACTTTCCACCCTGGGGTTCTTGTCATTCTGGCACCATAAATAACCTGGTCCTGGACTGCTATTGGATGCTTGCTTGACTTGACCTCACAAACAGAAGTCTGGGATAGCCTTAGCTGTGATGACTTCTCTTCTATCAGAAAACCAGCTATAGTTGGAGTTCATGGCCCAATAAGAGTTGAGGGCTTGGCCAGGCCACCCACTTACAGTCTGCCTTAAAGGCAAAGAGAAGTTGAGTCGAGAAGCTTTTCTGTAATATAAATGGGGCAACATATAGCTTAATGGATGCTGGGGGAGGCCATCTCAGTCATGCTCCTGCCTCAGAGCATGATCGCCTCACTACAGGAAGGCACCGGGAGGTAAAGAGACAGGCAGTACTTGAAGCAGTTGCCCCTGGTGTGGGAAGCTTCTGTTTGACTGAGGCTGTGCCATCCAGGAGCCAACATGGCTGTTTAAATGAACAAATACAAAATAAAAACAAAATAACAAAAACCCCAGCTGTCCTCATTTCCAGTTCTCCACCGCCACATGCTGTTGGCTGCTACTGTGCTGGACAGCGCAGATACAGAGCATTGTCATCATCACAGTAAGTTCTGCTAGATAGAACTGGCCCAGGACACTGATCAGGACAAAAATAGCCAGCTAAATGCTCTGCCCACTCCTCGTCCTGTCTTGTTTCCCAGCAAACAGACCATCTCCTGCTCTGTGCTGCAGTACTAGGCTTGTGGTTGCTCATTGTCCCCCCAGAATGTAAGCCGTGTTTCAGACTCACTGCTTCACAGCTGCAGATGGATGCTAATTTGCTCCGGTGCACTGTGTGGGTGCATCTTCATATAGAGAGAGGGAGGAGAGGCTCTGGGCAGATGCTGTGGAGTTTCCCCTTGCTTTCCTGCTGGCCCACAGCAGCATCTGCCTGGCCACAAGCTCACTCCTGAAGATCCCTAAAGACACTATTTTCTTTTCCACTGTGATCAGCAATAGAGGTAGTGTCCAGAGATTTTAACAACCAGAATGATGAGCTGACTTTTCAAGAGGAAAACAAAGGTAGACAGCTGTATCCTAAGGTGGGAAGAGGGCCAAAAGGGCTTTTAATTTCACAAAGCTTAACTTTAAATTTTGAAACAGGTAATTTGCTCACTGGAAATTTTTTAAGTATGTTTGGCGGAGCATACCATAAATTTTATGACATACATACATACATACATACATACATATATATATATATATATATGTATGTATATTCTAAATTGAGATTTTGTTTTGTAAAGGTTGAAACTTGCTATGGATTTAAAAGACGTTGAGTGAAAGAAAGTTGATTTCATTATCATTCTTTGGGTACACGTTGAGATGATATTTTCTGGTATGCTCTGTTAACATACACTACTAAAATTAATTTCCTCTGCTTCTTCTTAACCTTTAAAAATTTTGGCCTCTAGAAAAAAAGTATAAAAATTATGATTCCTGGAAAATTAAACATTATGTATGTGGCTTGTATTATGTTTCGGTTGGATGTGCTAGTCTAAAGACTCCTGAAACCGACACAACTTTAGTGGGGGGGCAGAGAGATGTTAACACCCTGATGGTATAGCTGAGAGAACAAATAGCTGGACTCTATATAAATTCACAGACTGGCAGAGGTATTTATTGTATGAAACCCTGTTCTGAGTACAATTTCATTGAAGGTCTTCAGACTTGACAGTAAAGCCATTGATCTGACAGTTTAGGTTGAGGGATAAAGTGTAAGATAAACTGTTTGGTTGAACCTAAAGTCTCAACTGGTAGGCCCTACTGGGAAGACAGGCTTGTGTTATCTGCTTCCTTCCCTAGAAACCCCAAAGGGAAGAGCTTCCTCAGCCTCTGGGGCAGCTTAGCTTGATTCTTGGCATAGACTGATTAACCTGAACTCCCAGCTATAACTTCTCAGTCAAAGGCAGGCCTGTGGA